CGATCCTATCCAGTGTACCGAGGCCGTCATGGCAGCTACCAACCGCGAGGCAGAGCTTGAAGCCATGCAGTTTGTTGACGCTGACTCCGAACTTGAAGATTTGGATGAAATAGATGACGACGACGATGATGATGCGTTGCAAATGGCAGACGAGGAGGTGGGGAGGGTAAATAATGCTTACGTAGGTGGACCAATGGAAGTGGACGAGCCTTTGGTGATTCCAAGTAGCGCATCCTCTTCCCACGATTCTACTACAGCTATTCGTGGGTCTACCCTTCGACGGTCCAACGCATTCAGGGTGCGCAGACCGCCATCTATTCCACTAAAATGGGATTTAAGCATCGTGGCTTGTCCTTACCCTGTGCCACAGTTCACACCTACCATTTTCCAGTATCTACCCATTTGGCTGGCAACCTCCCAGCAAACTGTATCCGTAGCTGCGCTGGAATCGAAGTCCTTGCGCGATGGCACTGAGTATTCCTCTCCTGTACGAGATGAATCGTGGTGAGTGACTTCACTTTATTACCAATGTAAGTCATGCATAGAAAATTTATTACCATTCATGTACTTGCATTTAGTCCCATGGTAGATAGCCTGCTTTCTCTCCTGGTGAAAGCTCATGCGCGTCTACAGTGGAGCCGCATGGTCACCTCGACGGATCTACAGGCCCAACAGACCACTGTCCCCCTGTGTACGAGTGCGGCTGCGGTGGCGCAAGACTGTGCCTTCCTAACTTTCCCCACCTCATCTACTCTTAATGCTGACACTAAGTCCACTGCTTCCAATCCTATTGCTGATCTTACTGCTCGCTGTATGGCTGTGCTCAATGCCACAAACACGGAAGAATCGTCCGAAGGCGGATCGACCGCGTCGCCTTTAGTCCGCGCCCTTCAAGCCGACACTTCGAGTAATGCACCCGAGGCAAAGATAGTAAAAGCGCTCACCGAAATGCCGCCGGAATTGCGCTACTTTGCGGTTGCTCCTCCAACTTATCAAATCGTCGAAGGGGAGGAGGAAGAAGAGGCGGAAAGTGGTCCAAAGTCAGAAGCGCAGCCAGCAGCTGGAAGGACGCCTGGTATGGGGCAAACTGAGAAGTCAATTGAATGTGGAGACGGCGTTTTCTGGATTGGAAGATTGCTAGATAAGATTGTGGAACTCTCATCAGATTGTAGAACTCATTTGAGGGCTTTCCTTGATCGTGCAAACGATCCCTTTGGTATGCGTAAGGAGGCTGAAACTGCAGGTGGGGAAACAGAAAGGTAGGTCGTAGTTTTAATGACTCATCGATAATATTTAGTGCTCTTTTGCCTTCGGGTTTACAAAACAATACCAAAACACGAGCTCAACGCAAACGAGCCGCCTCAGAGAGGCGAAAGCGTCTTCTTGATCTGATGGCTTCAAAACAACGAGCTTTTGCTGACAACTTCCTTAAGGATCTTGATATGGGTAATTGAGATAAAAGATGCTGTATTATAAGTTCTCGGTGGCGATTTCGCAGCGTAATGTGTCCTTTCTCTTTACAGACAAAATTTGTGATGAGACATCTGAAAACCCCGAGGGGAAGATGGAATGCGAGTACGACTGCGTCATCTGTCAGGCTGTTCCCGATACTCCGCAACCCATGGTCCTTTTGGTAATGCTCTGCGAATCCGGACGTGAGTCCTTCTACCGCAAATCACTTATTCTCGGAACCACTTTTACTCATCGCCATTTGCCTTTTACCAGTGATGGGATGCATGCGCAACTATCCGAATCTGCCACGTTTAAGTGGTGAGCGGATGATATACAGTCGGAGTTACTTGTGTGAGGATGCTTGTATACCACGTGCAGTGCCAGTGGTTCCACCCGAGCTTCCACGTCAGATGGACATTCTACCAACTCGTCGAGTGCCCCCTTCGCCCTGTGTGGCAGAGACGGACGGTTGCAGTTCCTCGGCGGCTTGTCGTATTACTGACACCATAATCATCCCTCCGAGCGTTCTGAGCAGCACGCCCTCCTGTGAAGTGTCACGAGGGGATGTTCTAGAACCGGTGGCCTATGTGGAGGATCGAAGATGGTGGGATCTGGCCCTCCCTCCAGAGATAGGTTCCTCGCTGCCGCTGCTAAGATTGGGGTTACTGCTGCAGACCTGTGGGCATGCAGTTCATCGAGAGTGCTTCCAACGATATAGACTTCAGGTTTGTGAGTTCCGCTGTTATTTGGAGATAATGCTGCTTTCATGCGGAATGGCAAATATTATAGGCAGAGTATGGATTTATTTTCGTTTATACCGAGATCGTTTGTATTTCACCCTCGGAGCC